TTATTTATTTATTTATTTATTTATTTATTTATTTATTTATTTTTTTAATTTATTTTTTTTTTTTTATTGGTGGTTGTCCAGAAACGCTAAGGTTGCATTACCGCCACCTACTGATATCGTCTCTTTTTTCTTTATATTTGACCCAAACATTAAAATATTGCTGTAGCGCCATCAAGGGGTTTGGAGAGAAACAAATGATAATTTCTTCCTATATTTCACGCCTCATCTTTAGTCGCGCTCTTGGCAGATTCCCCCACCTGATTAATGGAGTTACTCCTAAGAACATTTTGCATGACTTTTGGGGGGGGGAGTATAATTTTCCATAAATATAAAGTATTTGCAAAAAGTAGATCGGTACATTTCATTCAACTGGATGTTGGTATAATTATGTAAAAAAACACATAATTTCTAACCTAATAACAAAAGAAATAGACCCAAAGAAATGTTCTTGATTCGTCTACAGTCATTCTACTGTGGAAATACATTTTAAAAATCTGCTAAATATGGTAATTTTTATTTTTAAAAATTTGGTGCCTCCTTATTACTTTTTGCAACCCATTTAATCCCAAATTTTTCCCAGACATGAACATATTAAAATCAGATGTCATTAGTAGCCCTTTGAACTAATCAAGGGGAAATAATTTTAAAAATTGTGGAAAAATATGTGGAAAAAGTGTGTTTTATGATCGGTCACAATTGTGACCGGTGGGATAATATGGTGTTCTTATATTAGGATGAGCTAAAAGTGCTTTTTCCAAATAGATATGATCATAATATGTGAACATTGTTTCTTTATTGGAATATATCTTGCCACAGCATTACTTTAGTGCAACATTTGCTCTGTAAGGTACAAATTTAACTATCTGTATATTTTAAACCAAGGTAAATTTGAGTGCTTGAGTGTTTATGCATAATTATATTGAACTTCAGTCAGTTGTAGTGTCATCACAGTAACATAGATCATAAAGATAACATCTTCAGTAGAGGCTTTCATTCATATTTCTGAAAATTATGAACATTTGTCACACTGTCATAAAGTAAAACTCAATAGACTTAGTCCAGGGGTCTCCGTCTCCAGGATTTAGGGCCTGTGTCATGCATCTTTTCCATCCGCCTCTGCTTCAGCACACCTGAATCAGGTGATAAGCAGGACTCTGGAGAACTGGACTGCATACTGAGAGGGTGATCCATTTAATTCAGGTGTGTTGGACCAGGAACACACCTGAAAGTTGCAGGATACCGGACCCCAAGGCCTGGAATCAAAGGACAGTAGTATGGCTCCTTCTCACCATTTGGTGACTTTGGTTTTCTTCAATTTTAGGTTATTTCATCCCCTCCTTACTTTCCATGTTCTTTCTTGAAGCACTCAGTGTGCAATAAAACCTTGAATTTCTCCAAGGCATGGGTGGTGCAAAAGCAACAACTGGAACAACATCTCTGGAAACGACTCTTGCATTGACTGACCAGAAAGTGTCTTGGTCACATCTTGCTGGATGTGACCAAGTCACAAATAACTTGACTTGACTTCTCTTCAAGTCAAATAACTTGAAGAGAAGTGTCCATTTGAGATCTATTTCCATGACCTACTGGCCTTATCCCAAACATTTGCATAAGATGATAAGCCACAACCCATGATGAGCAAATCAGTCGTTCCTCCTACGACACATTTGTAAAATATCTGAAAGGTAAATGGCCTGTACTTGTATAGTTCTTTATCAAGTCCAAATGACCTGAAAATGCTTTTCACCACATTTAGTCATTCACCCATTCACACACACATTCACACACCGACAGCAGTAAGCTACTATATTGTAGCTACAGCTTCCCTGGCACAGTTTGACAGAAATAAGGCTGTCATTCACTGGCACTACCAGATCCTCTGACTATCACCGGCTGGCATGGCAGGTGAATTGTCCTCTTGATCAAGGTCACAACTACTGACACAAATAAAGTGGGGGTTCCAGCAGGCAACTTACCAGTTACAAGATAAACTCCAACCTCCTAGGCATCCTATTTACAAGTGTACTTTTGAGATGGGCCACCACCACTTCTTGGACCTGACCATGACACTAAACCTTGAGGGGTTTAGGTCATGAAGGTCTTTGGTTATTGATCAATGACCAATGACCTAGTTGACATCAGTCTCTATATAATTCTTCATCTTTGTTTCCATTAGGAAAATATTGTTGTTTTTCTAGTGGATCAGCAGTTTCTCATCTTGTGTTGGAACCTCATTAAGATCTTTATTTTTAAAGAGTACATCAGAGAGACATCATAAACCCCTTCATCATAAACCTTTGCAGGTGGTAACAGAATGCCACATGATTGGTGAAGGGTCAGAAGATCATCCTCTTTCCCCACGAACTGATCATACGCATTCAAAATCAGGCATGGAAAATGGCCCATCTTCCCCATATAGTCCATGTCTAAGCTATCAAAATCAGTAAGGATTCCATTTTTCTCACAACTACATTGTTGTATGCTTTGTATGGCCATCACTAAGTCCAACAGATCAAGAACCACACTCAAAATTAATCTTAAAAAGGAAGAAGTTAGGAATTGGAAGAATATGGTATGTATTTAAATAAGTGCACCTAGATCAAATGTGTTATCCCACTGGTCACTATTGTGACCGTCAACATGTTTACACATCCTGCTCACACACCAAACAAATTTTTGTAAATGTAAAGGTGTATATCATAACTAGACACTTTAAAGATGATGTGCACCAAAAATCTTTGTTGTATGTTTATTTAAATATAGATTTCTAGCCTCTGCCTTGTGAGGTTTGTGGCAGTCTTCTTCTCGCCAAGGTGCAACCAAGATATAAACAGCTCTAGTCATATGATAATTTACTCTTAACATGTGATACTGCATAAGTAATATCCAGACACTCTAAACTTTCAATGTTTGCTGAACATTAACTGAAAATTTAATCAGGAAGCTTTTTAGAGTCCATGAAAGTGAAAAAAAAAAATTCTTGGTCACTATTGTGAGCCATTGAGGAAAGTTCTGATGTGACTCCATAGTCGCAGGTTACAGACCCCAGCATTGCCTTGATGTGGCTCTGTGATGTCACTCTATTTACATATAAGATGGATGGAACAATGCCCTGTGGAATGTTCAAAGCCAAATATAATATTTTGTGACCTAATCTTTAAACTTCTTTGCACTTTATTGACATTTATTTATATTTATAAAAAGTGAAAAGTGAATAATTTTCCTTTGAAATTACAATAAAGCAATGCTTTGTGCTTTTCAATCACATAAAATCCCAATGAAACATATATATTGAAGTGTATGGTTGAAACATAACATAGCATGAAAGAAGTTCAAAAGGAATAAGAATTTTAAAAAAAATACTGCATATATAGTCAAAGAAATTTGCAGTTAATTAACTTATTCTGATTTCTGCAAGTAGTTAATATTGATTTGTGCCTAACCTAAGCTGGGTCTTTAGCACTATGACCAGAGAAGTGCTGATAGCTACAAATACATAACTGCAAAAAAAATGGTTACCTTCATGTGTTTATACAGGGTAAAACAGACCTTTCAGCATATTTTAAATACCTATATGCTGCATTGTTAGAAGTAGTTTGGTATGTCTCTTTAAAGTCAGAGCTACATTCCCAAGTCAGGCGAAAACCCATGTGCTGTGCTCAAACAAAATACACTCTTCTCCCAGTGTAAGAACTACGTTTGGCTCTTTGTTTTGTCTACTGAAGACCAAAATAATCCTCTTTGTCTTGTTCATATCCAAAATAAAGTGATTTTCTTCCAGTGTGGCACAACACTTCCTGCCAGTTCCTCCTATTCAATTAGAACGCGTCTCCTGGTTTAGTCGTGGTAATTATTACACTTTGCATTTCAATTTATAAAGAACTCAAAAACGGTGGTATTTAAATAGTTTTTCTTTTTTTAAATAATAATAATAATTTGTTTTGAAAGGCTGGGTAATATTTAAAACATCAACATCAATCCTTCTTGAACACTGAGTCCTCTGCAGTTTCCGAGAAAATGTAAATTATTTTTTTCTGTTTCGACGCTTCTGAGCAGAACTCTCCCCTCCTCCTAGATTCCGCACACTAGATGGGGCCACATCCATAACTGGAAAGTGGAGTTAAATTGGAGGAACAAACCTTACGCAATTACATTCAATTACATTTTATGGATCCTTTCACGACCTTCAGTGTTTGGTCAATTTAAGCTTGAGAATCATTACGCTGGCATTTCCTTTCAATTTAAGCATAAGTTACATCATTGTTCTAAATAGATAGTGTATTTAAACAGTAATTTTGTCGTTTATTCCAGTGTTGCTGCCATTGTTAAGGATACTGAATATGCGGAGATAATCCAGGAAAAGCTTTGCAATGTTCACATATAGCAGTTTATACACAATAACAGAGTTTGCGCGACTAAAGGGTCTGGATCAAAAGACGCGAATCACACAAAAAGGGGGAGATAGATACTCCAAAAAACTGTCTTGGCTCAAAAACGTGCGCATCTGGGTGGCGTCGCAGTGGGAGGAAACATTCAACAACAATGCCGAGACTTCACGGAGGGTGCGGCAGGATGATGCTTCCTCCTCCAAACAGCCCTGCCTCCCAGCGGACCCACTGTGCCATGCGCATCGCTCCAACACTCAGTGTTGAGCATGTGGGGCCCCTTAAAGAGAAGCGCCGAGTAGACGGCACGGACTTTCTCCATTGAAGAGTCACCGCAATGAGGAACAGCGCCGAACCGGCACAATGCGCTCCAGGCTCCCAGGGACCGCCTGCCTATTGCGAACAATTGGACTCTGCATCCTCCTCTCGAACACTGCAGCTTACTTTGGGTCAGACTGTTAACTTTTTATTCAGGCATTTTACATATGTTGATCTAGTCACTGTATGGGAATAGCCTAATTTATTAAAGATTCAATAATTAATTATGCACGCGTAAATGTCTGACGTCTTCATATTCAGTTTGCTATTTCATTTGCTATTTAGACATTTTGCCTTTTTTAAAAAAAAAAAAAAAAAAAAACGGGATTTGATAGGAAAAGTTTAAATAGCTTTAAAACAAGACACCAGCGTGGGAAATATTAGAACTTTGTCAGTTAATTACCATAAGAAATTATTTACTAGAAAGTTGTTTTTTGGTTGTTGTTGTTTTTTTAAAAAATTATACAGTGGATGTTTTTTTTTTAAATTATTTTTATTTTTTTTTACATAGACCCAGATTTACATTTACTATCGTTTTCTTCTTAATCACAGGCTGACAGGCCGAGAGCCACTGGTGCTTTTACCAGGTCCATTTTCCAATGAAGCTCCATCGGGGAAGGCCCACCTGAAGCAGTGCGAGCAGATGAGTCTGACCAGGCGGCAGAAGAGGATGTGCCGCAGAGAGCCCGGTTTAGCCGAGACGCTCCGGGAGTCGGTGCGCCTCGGCCAGTTGGAGTGTCGCTATCAATTCAGAAACGAGCGCTGGAACTGCACCTTGGATGGCCGAGGAAGCCTCCTTAAAAGAGGTGAGCGCGCATTCTGGTTTTGATTTCTGCTACTTCAACTTCAACTGATTTTATCACAGAGATAAAAGTGTGCCGAGATGGACTTTTGCTGGTTCTGATCAAAATTTACATTAATAATATATATATATATATATATATATATATATATATATATATATATATATATATATATATATATAT